CCCCAAAACCCCAAAACCCCAAAACCCCAAAACCCCGGAGTTTGCTCAGAAAATTGAGATTTTAAGAAATGTATTATAAGTTATACTCACTAGAGGCTAGGCTAAAGCATGAAAATTTGCAAGGATTTCCCAATCCAGCCTCTTTCTATCAAATCCACCGAAACCCTACCTCGCCACCCCTATTAGGCCAATTATCAGGATTGGGACTAATATCGTGGCTAAACTACCATCAGAAGTATAAAAATTCCCTTCAAATTGTTCGTTTCACCTAACTAAAATTTTGTTTAATTACAATATAACTTAGAAGAATTACAGAAAAAAGTGTAGAGGCTCCCTGTCGCCAACAAAGTGGCCAAAGCCTGTATTACTCCACTAAATCCTTGGGAGAAGCTATCTAATGTTACGGAAGACGACTGGTGCCCTATAATTGCATGGTCTTCGCTGTGCTATTGGGTTGAGAATGGTACGAGATTTTAGGAAAATGAAAATGATTTAACTTGTTTACGAAACAACTTTGAAGAGTTACAAGAAAAAGGCACAGAGACTCACAGCACCAGCCAATGTGGTGAAGGCTGGCATATAATCACTTGATGCCAAATCTGTGCAGCTTGAAGAAGTGGAAGTGAGCGATTGTCATAATGACAAGTTCCTTGCATTTCCTAAAGTGGTAGCCAAGTCAACGACTCCTCTATTTAGAGAGGCGCTAAATGCGTTGTTGAATCTGGCAAAGCATCTGATGTACCAGGTCTCTGTCTGGTTTGGCATGTATACAGTACTTGCAAGTTGGGTTGGAGTCAATCCAAAGAAGGTGTAGGATACAGTCTTGGCAGTGGAGTTATTTGAGTTCAATCCAGCAGGAGATGTGATTACAGATATGAGAGATCCAGAAGACACTATATGATCTGCTGTTTGTCCCCAATTAGAACCGCCATAGAAAGTAACTGAATTGTACACTGCAGCCAAAGATGCACAAGTTGAATGGCATCGCCATTCAATTCCAAATCCCTTCAAAGCTGTGCTGTCAGTGGTGAGTTGATAATTTGAAGTTGCCACATTAACACAAGCTCCAGTAGTAAAAAAATTACTTGTCATTGGAGCACTTGTCATAGGAATAATGAGTCCCAAGGCCACATCAGTGTTACTGCTGTTGCTTGAATTCTCTGAAAAGTTGATTGTAAACTTATAGTATCCATCTTCAGAAAGAGTTATAGCTGCAAGAGTGACAGCAAAAGCCATGGCAAGCACAATGAGAGTCTTCATTAAATAAATAATTTTAAGATCTCAAGGATTGCATCCTTATAAGGGGTTTTGGGGTTTTGGGGTTTTGGGG